AATTACTTTTGTGTCATTGGTGGTTCACCTTAAAAACAATTTTGTAAAATTGTACCAACTTCCTGTACAGTTAGTGGGCAAATTAAAAATAATTGGCGTATCTGACACGCGATCTCGTTGTCATATAAAAAATAATAGACAAAGTTGTAGATAATCAGTTAGGGATTATATATTTCTTGATCGATCTCCATATAAAGATGCTACATAACGATTCTGTTTCAATAAAACACTTTAACCGTTTAAAACGCGACATATATTAGTTAAACTCGTAAATGGGCCTTGGTCACGAGAGACGGCCGCTGTGAATAATTCAAAATGGCGGGCCTTAGTTAAAATAATTTTCAGATAAATTTAACTAATATAATTCGCGTTTTAAACCGTTCAAGTATTTCATTCAAATGTGTACTACTCGCATTAACTACAGACAGTTATTTTATATACATTCGGAATAAAAACTTTTATCAAACTTTGTATCTTTTTACTTAATGAGAATACCTTAATTAAGTATATGTTATACAATTGAGATATAGGTCGCCAATCCATCATAGATATTATATGACTGATGTGTTTTACCTTCCATTAAGTGAACACTATGCTTTGCCTTCTCTATCATAAAAAAGTATTTGAAATTCCAGTTACGTGTGTCAGTATGTATCAATTCGCCATCTTTAAATATGATTACAGTAATATACATTTTCTATTCGTTTCACCATTTGAATGCTGTCATTCAGCCCCCCTCTTGTAGTATTTACATGTTTAGAAAGACTTCCTTATTGAGCATAATTCTCCTATAATAACTGATCGGCGCAGTTTCTAATATAATCTCGTCTACAACTAGTTATTGTGGATACATCCGAAAGCATAACGCGTGCTTAGAAATTATCTAATGACAGAACTAGTTCCGATGATCCAGTAAACCGTTTGCCTAGTTCCAATACGCGGTTCCGGTTACTTGATGATATTTAAATGAGAAACTGATTTGTTGATAACGATGTATTAATGAGTTTCCCGGGATTTTACTATGGTATTAGCAGTATAGTATTAGCGGTTAGTAAATGAAAATAGTAATCGTGGCCAATTAAAACTCTCTTAACGGTTTAAAAGGCGAATTATATTAAATATCATATAAATAAATACATTATTTAAACACGCCCCCGGTAACGTGACGTCTGCTAAAAAGCATACAAAATGTCAGGTAGTTAAGAATAAATTAACTAATATATTTCCTGTATTAAACCGTTGGAGTAGTTTTTCACGTGTTCGTACAATTTGCTATACTGACATCGTAATGGAGAGGCAGTGAATATTTTTCTTTTAATTGGCAATAAGTTACTAAATTTTTTAATTCTAAACTCAAATAAAGCATATTTTGGTTAACTTTGCGGACTAAATATTTCGCACTCATTTCGGATATAATACGCGAATGTCGAGAAGGAGAATATTAAAACCTCCGGAAGTTTCGTCGCCGCAAAAAAATTGCAAAGATCCTTTATTAGTCACTTTTAAATTAGGATTGGAGACAATCTTAACAGCGGGGACACATCCGCTCAACTTTTAAAAGATAATTATCACAGGCGTAAAAATGGCTTTTAAATAATTATATCAAATTCTTTATTCACTAACGATTATATTTCTTATGAGTCATTGTAATTAATCAACAATTAGGAATATCGCGTGGGATAGTTCTGAATCCGGGTTTTTGTTTGTTCAAGTAGGTACAAAGTACAAGATTCAATTGACGTAAATAAAGAAAAACTATACCATATCGAATCAATGATCGAAATCTTTAGTATTTGATATATATGTAAGTACATACATATATAGCGGCCATCGTGGCCCAAGTCTTATACAATATTTATTATACAATTACGATATATATAGTTAAAACCAAACTTTTGAGACATGGTCGTCTTTACAAAAATTAAGTTAGTTCCTTTCCTTTTTCCGTTATTGATAATTTATTTATTAGAGTTAAAATGTACAAGTGCAAGCTTAATTTCAAATAATTAACACGGTTTTAAACAAATATCACTTTTATGTAAAGGTGAAAAATTCTAGAGCCTATTTCTTGTATGTGCTTTCGTGCATTCGCTAGTTTCAGTTCCATTGTACAGAACAGTAATTAACTTTAGAACCAGACGCTCCTCTAATTACCCTGATTAAACTCCAAAAGACAGTAATAAAAGCAAATAATGGCATATAATGTGAGAGCGAAGCCTAAAGAAGCTTCGTGAGAACGTCCATACAATAGTAAAAGTAACAGTACCCACTTGCTTGCCGCCTGTATTGAACTCGTAAGAAAGTTCGCTGCAACCGCAACGGATTAAAACAATAACAAAACGTTAGAGCTCGCACTTTGTTCAGAATAGTTTACAGTTGACGTCGTTATTGTAATTGGGAACTGGATTGCATTCGAATACAAAAATGAGAAAACAAATTCAAATTTGAATCTTTTATAATCCAAAAAAGCTTGACATCGATCACAAAACGCGACGTAAAAGAAAAAAAATCTCATAGTCTGTACTTACTAAAAATACAGATTCACTATAGTTAGTAGTAAAGCTTTGATATTTTAATTGAATACTGTCTGTAGTTTACGCGGGTAGTGCACATTTAAATAAAACAGTTTAACGCTTAAAAACACGATATATATGTATGTATAAGCTAAACTTATTTAATTATAAGCCCGACGAATGCTTTAAAGCAGCTGTGGTCACAGGAAAACTTTGAAATAAGTTTAACTAATATATATTGCGTTTTAAACCATTCATATTTTAATCAATGCATATTTTAATTATGTGCGTTAATACTGACCACACGAAATTGGATACGTAGAGTCAATGTTTGTTTAGTTTTATTGCTTCTGTGATAAATAGAGAGATTAATTCTCGTTGTGATATAAGATCCAGTCTCGCATGACACAGTAGAACCTCGAAGGATGAAACCAGTAGGGCTACTCGTTAAACTGAGGTCGAACTGAAGCATTTATTTCCAGTCTCTTTGCAACTTGCGGAAAGAGATAAGACCGTTGTACGCAATTAATCTTGACATTCGTTTATTTTAAGCAAATGCACAAGAAAGGTCCTTGTTTTTCAAGTACATGTAGTAATATTTTTATTAAATTTTAAAAATATATGGAGATGAATAAAAGTAATGAAATGTCGAAACGAAAGCATGTTTTCACGGTCAAATAAACTTAAATATCGTTATATTAATAGCTTATATTTTCCAGAGTAGCCCGCATTCGCATTCAATTTACCTCTCAGTGAGAACTTGTACGCAATTATTATTAGAGTAAAAAATAAGACAAAACACTGCAGCGCCACGTGAGACCAAATAAAAACTTTATCACAGATAAATTAGTCTTATATATTTGAAAAGGATATTCTACAAGTAATATCAGTGATGTCTCACGCGATATGTATTGATATTATAATCAGTGTTAAAGGACACCGGATGCTGTATAATCGAAATTATTAATTCATATAATTTATAAGAAGTTATGAGAGATTAACCTTTATTGTGGCTATGACGACTATTAAATTTTTATGTCTGTGAGAAATTTGAAGACTGGATGGTATTTAACAATTTATGATATCGAAAGATTTACACATAATTTTTAAGGCAATATTTGGATTTATGTTATGTTTGAATTCAGAAGTTTGCAAAGAATTCAAAAAATATTATATATATTTATAACTAATATATTATTGTATATAAATAAGTATGCAAATAGATTTTATTTAAATGTGCCCTACTTGCGTCAACTATAGAGTATACTTGTAAAGAATTTCTACTGTCTACCTATAGCAGTTATGCAAACAAAGAGCTTAGTCCTCTTAATAGGATTTTTTTTAAACCCTTTGATATAGTTCGGTACCTACGGAACCCTACAATATCAAAAACCCTTAATATATAAAGCTGTTTAGAATTGTATGTGTTTACAATATTTTGTTCTTATCTCAAACTGATATAGATTAAATACTACCAATGACAAATCACAGTGTTATTTCTTTTTATTTTTTTTCTATGTAACTAAGTATTGTAGTGGCCAGGTAGGTATGTACTGAGATATTTATTTAAAAAGTCAATGGCACTAATTGATTCCCAGGTTTAAGTTTACAAGAACCGTCCACTAAGCCTGTGTTAGAGTGGTATTTTTATAGCCCACGCAATTGGCTATCCATTTGTCTGGTACAGGAACTTGTAAGTAATAACCATCAACGATGTCCACGGAACACGGCCCACCAATAAAAAGAGAACACGATCCAGCATTCTTTAATTAAATGAGAAGAGTAGGCGATGACAAGACCAGTTGAATCTATGTGTTGAACTTGTTTTCAATACAGGGAAACAATACAATACACGCTCAAATATGCGAGGCCGATTTTTTACTCGAAATGTAAAAACAACAGCAATAAATTGATATAAACTATACTACTTTAGCATGTAGAATTGTTCGCCGATATTATCTTAGTGGTTAAAATAAAAGCTTTTATCTGAAACACATTTGCCGCTAGAAAACGCGAAATCTATTAGTTAACTCCCACCAACCGGACATACCTCCAGTAACCGGAATTCCAAATCGCATTTTTAAATACGAAAGTGGGTAACTTGGTAATAAACTAATATTTTTGCGTTTTAAATACAACCAATACAATATGTAACCAATAATTTAATAAAAATGTATGTAATGATATTGATTGCTTAAATCTCGTGATGTACTGAAATAATTGTCGGGCTATTCGTGTCAATATAAATTAAATTGACGACGGGGGGCGGGTCTCGAACCGGCATCCACAGCGTGCCGTAGTGTTGCTCTAATCTATTGAGTTACAGTGTCCTACACGTCATCGGTGATTTTTTTTAGTGAGGTTTTATGCAATTAATTAAACCCAGCCAAGATACCCCCCGTACGATAGACACATTATATAACAATATTATAATCAACGAAGCAAAAAGCAACGGGGCGTGTGTAATATGGTAATACAAGTAATGAAATGAAATGGAGTGGCCGAGTGAGGCGTGTCAATTTAATATCCTCCGGTGGCCTGATGATGGATGGCACTTTTATTAACCCTGCCGGACGTGCGTCGCTTTACGACTGCAAGTCGATGCTCGGTTTCCTAAGAAATCTCAAGCCAAGTCTGTTATTCACCAAGGTATATCGCTGGAATGGCTCATCCTACTTGGTATTCTATTTGTCTTATTTGTGAGGTTATTATCTTTTTTTTTTATTTCACATTATTTATATTTTTGTAAAATACTGCTTATTGCAACACCGTCCAATTAAGTAAACACTGGTTCATGAATTAACGGACTCGGGACCCCGCTCAATTTTCTAAGTGAGCCTAAGCAACAATCGAGTGCGTATGCGCATAGGGAAATGTAATTACGCAGCGATGAAAGGATGTTGCTTTTTCTAATGTATGTAATGGATGAAAAGGTTATATACAGTATTAAGAATAGAAAAAGTGAAAAACTCTGTATTAATATTTGAACAGTTATTTTACTCCTTACAAACAACAAATATTATCTAATGTGATGTGTGAAATTTCTATTCTCCATATACATATTATTCTTATATACAATTATTCTTTGACATGCCTTGTGAGTGTGAAAGTGGTACGAACATAGTTTAACAAATATGAACCGATCAAAGATGCATCGAAAGAAAATTAATTTCTCGCTCGTAGGTAATACGGTTTTCCTAACATTTCGAGAGGAGGTGACGTCTCGGTCCCACATAATATCGTTCAACACCGTCAACTTCAGTAGACAATAGAATTCTCACCAGATAGACATTTTCAAACGATTTCATTGTGATTCTTGCAAAAACCCGCAGGTATAGTGGCGCCTTTTAAACGATGTATTGTATAGGGGCGCCTGGCCAGGTGCTTTTTTTTCTCTAATCAATTTGGGTAGAGCAAAACGAACGGACACATCGGAGTGCTAAATTTTATTTGTTTTTGGCAACCTTAAAATTTATGCAGGATTGTACTACGATAAAGTTACAAATTGAAGTAGTCATTTGTCTCAACATTTATTTTTTTATGTATAACGTTCTGAAACTAGTTTTTAATATTTCCATGATAACATTTTGAAATCTACTCTAGTAGCTTAGTTAGTAGTTAATCTAATAATATTTTATACATTTTTTTATTATATTGGAATATATGTATGTATGTATAAGAATTTCAAATAATAAAATCCAATTTAATTTCGCCTAAAAGGCGAAATTAAATTGGATTCGTGAAAGTATCTGCCTACATGCACACCTACTGTAATCATCCTAATGAAATGTTATCAAAGACGGTATGGCGTATTACATGATACATTTATACCATATTAAATATTACTACGTGGGCACTCCACCCACATGACGGCCCACCGTATTTTTCAATGAGCCTAGCCTACGTGTCACATATCTAGATAGAATAGGCCTCCGCATAACCATAGTGAGAAAATTCGCTTTTAATTACATACCGTAAGCGGACTTCGGTTTCCCGTTCGCTCCACCGGTCACACACTTCGATCACAGTAAAACCTCTGCAGTCTATGGAAATCCTTTGCTGTCTGAATTTAAAAAAAAGGGTAAAAAACCACAAATACGCGCGATTTCAAATATCGAAGCCGTCAATAATTCGAAAATGGAACATGCGCTCGCGTGGCGGCGCGGTGCTTCACGACTGATCGTGAACGGCGAGGCACGCGCCGGTGCCTTCATTCACAAATCGAACGGCGGGGGCAGGGGCGCGGGGCGAGAGGGGAATGCCCATTCATGAGTCCATCGAGGCGTGGTGACCTGCACCTCTTTCTACATGAATCGTGTTGGTACTGCGAAAAAGCGCAGAACTGTATAATCAGATGCTAACTAGTTTGTTAGTGCTTCGTACCATAATATGACGAATGTGACCCTTGATCAAAGAATATATGGAGTTCGGACCAAAGCAAAATGCACAAGAAATTCCTCTTAATGTCTTAAAAAAGTACACAAGTCGACTTTATGACGTTTTCTTAACTCTATAGCGTTTGCTGGGTATACCAATAGTCCCTATTATTTAAAGAAAAAGAAACTCTATTAACTTAAATTCAGTGTCATAAACGGACGTGTTTTAGCATAATTTCCAAAAGCAATAAAGTTAATTTGCAATAAGTTTTGGAAAACGACATTAATAGAACACACAAAGGATTACCAGCATTATATTTGATTAATCGGATTCATGTTGAAAAGGACTGTATATCCTGCACAATGCATGCGTTTTGTTTTTAATTTTTTTTTTGTATAAAGTACAGACACATAAAGTACGTGTGTGCGATTCGACTCACTGACATAAATCCAATTGCACGATTGGCGAAAGTACGGCGAAAATAAACTTTGTTTTAAGTGCGCTAAAATAAAAAGAAATTCTGATATATTTATGTGAATTTACGAAATATATAAATACGGGAAATGTTACGAAAAAGTGAGTAAGTATATTTATTGTTGAATTTTTATATATATGTATGTATATATACTTCCTGTCGAAATAACACTATTAAATTATAAAAAATGCATGAATTAAACACGAAATTGCCTCTAGCAGCCTCATATCGACGTAAGGAAACGTATTTGCTGTAAGCCTCAAAAAATCAGAATTACGTTTATTTACATCATTTTTATCAGAAAAAAATACTGCGTCGATTGGTCTGGTATTAATATTTCTACGACGAAAAAAAAATCACTCTACCAAAAACTATTATTTTTTATGCATATCGACGTACCTCCTTTTATGTATTAATACTATTGTGAAAGTAATCTTACTAGCACCAAAATCGAAGTATCGCAAATCATAGCATTGTTCTAGAAGTCATGTAATTGCAATTCTAAGGCCATGATCCAACTAATTAAAAAACAATTAGATATGGACATACTTATATGACATAACGTCTGACAAATGCAATCCCTTCTCCGGATTGCATTTGTCAGACGTGTACTCTGGCCTTCTAAGGGCTCATGCAATAAATAAATATTTGAAAATCTTTAAGCCAAACCTCCAAGTAAAATATAAAGATATCTGCAAACAATTACTCACTGAGCCATGATTAACAAGCACTTAAAGCACAAGAGGTCGTGAACGAAAAAATTGCGCCAGAGAAAGGCCCGCACTATGTAGATTATGTAATCGCAAATCAGCGCGTGCCCTTATGTTTCTGCTTCGATGCTGAGATAATAACGACCCTAATAATATAACCTAACGTTACTCTACTACAGTTAACAGCAGTTAACTCATAAATTGTAAAACAAACCTTACCAGACAACAAACTAAATTAATGTATTTATAATATCATTTATCTACCGTCAATATTTTATCACCTAATATAATTATGTTGCTAGCCTAGCAAGTATAACCCGCCTCTTATAATTGTTTATTTTCTTTGATGAACGGCGGTTAGAAATAAAGATCAATAAAAAATCGTTTAGGTCGTATACAATAAATACATAAAAGGGATTTATCAATACATTCAACTCTCATATTCCTTTTCAGAACCATAAACATGATTACACATAACCGTTTATTCGTGAAGCGATCATAACAGGAACTGAATCACCCCTAATAACCAAATTAAGTTTGCACTTAATTACATTTTAAAAATCCGTCCGAAAATTTATATTCATATTAATGTGTTCTTTTCAAAAATCGATTCTGACTCACTGCGGAGCCACATTTAATGTACGTGTTAAATAATAAAAGCGGTAATCAATTCGCAGGGTACCCTGCGCGGGCGCACAATTAAGAGGCGTGGGCGCGTTGCACTTTCGTGAACTTTGAAAAAATTAATTCGACTTCTCGTTACAAAAATGAACGAGTCTTGCTAAATTGAGATCGTAATTCGTGCCGGGGCTTTTTGTTCGCCGCTGCCTTTTACGGTGAGATAAACGGGGATTGCTTTAAATGACAGCCCACCGATTACATTAATTTAGGGAAAGGTTGACGAAGATGACGGTCGCCTAGTAAAACCTTACGGCTTTCTCTCGTTTGTACGCTAACTGTACGTTATTGTATTTCTGCGGTAACTTCTGGTCTAACAACAACTAGTTGATTACACTGCTGTTCTGTGCCCGAGTCAATTATTTTCTATTATGTCCTCAGGATTTGATCACTAATCATGACCTCTCTTAGGAATCGTTTAATATAATATAGTTAACGTTAAGTCTGTGAAACTGCGAAAAGAGTACTAAACTCAAAATAACCAAAACCAAAATAAGGTGAGAGCTTATATTTTTGAGTTTCATAGTTGGGTAATTCACCATCCATTGAGTGCACATCATGCATTTCTGCCCCTCTCTATTATAACGCTAGATAAGCTGTACTGTCTGTACTTTACGCGAGTAGTCACATTTAACAAAACACTTTCTTAAAACGCGAGATATATTAGTTACTTAAACTTATTTATTATTTAGCAAAACAGATGGCGCTAGCGTAGCAGTTTTCACTTTGACATTAGATACACTCTCCATCTTTAGTTCGTGACCTCGGCTGCTGCAAAGCATCCGAAACGTCGGATAATCAAAATAATTGTATCTGGCGTTAAAATATACATATTTTCTAAAATTAGCTGTATATTTTCTTCTAGCGACACGAACCTGGTAAATAACGCAACTCCCACGAAATACCATTCATCAGAGTAATCGATACAGCACCGTTACTTGCCGCAGAAGCAGCATAACTCTATAATTACGCGTATTATCATCTTAGGGGTGGACGGTCGCTTCCTGTGGTCAATTAATGCACCGTCTTACTAGGCCGACAACTACAGTTAGAAACGGGCACCAGTCTTGCCGATGAGGAAACGTCGATCGACAAAAAGCCTATTAATGAACTGAATTCGAACCGAACTGTACCTTGTACCTTCCGTAATTAAGGAGTCCCAGAGAGTACCCCTGGTAGAGATATAACCGTAGTGTCTTTCTAATCTCATTATTTATTCTACTCGCTAATACACTACAATATTTTTATGATAAATGTTGAAAGGTGAAATGCCCCATGCATTTAATTATAAATCTAAATAAGATGTGTTGTCGACCTATTTTCGCTTTTGATGCTCGGAAGTCCACAGATTGAAACCGAAACGCGATAAAAGTTCACGGCTTTTTCATCTGTGCGCCGTTGTGCATGCTTCGTGGCGGAATTTCGATTTTTCTACTACTCATTTAATATCAAGATTTCCACACGAAGTGTAACATGTTTCAGAAAAATTATAAATTGAATTAGAAAAATGACCCAGTGGGGATCGAACACACGACCCGATATTAGCCATAAATTGCTACCATTACACCAACGAGCCCGTCGAAGGTATATGTGGTACATATATTATGTTTGTTGGTAAATTATATTATTACTATACGAACACTCAAAGTAAACGCAAGAAATGGCATTTTTTGTCTGATGAATAAAACTTTTTATAATTGTTGCGTTCCCCTTACGTCAAGCATGGGGAAATTACAGTTGTTTCAGTAATCAGATTTTATTTACAGACAATATAACTTACTAAACTTTTCTGTTATCTAACAACTGCAAAGACACCCGCAATACTTACGCGGTTAAATCAATGTGTAGGTAGGTATATATAGCGGTGCCAACTGGCTTGCAGTAAAAGTTTGTTCAAAGTTTTTATACATACGTTTTCGCAGACAATTAGAGATACTTGCAGTAAGTAGGACTTTTAGCAAGCTACTGTAATTTCAAATAATATAAAAATTACGAACAAATTATTGATTTGTGTGAGCAATAAATCAAATGAAACCGTTGTAACGGGTTAAAATGCGACCTATTTGATGGATGGATGCTTTGCAATCACCATGTCTACGAGGGAAGCCTGCTGTTGTAAATGTTTCAAAACGTAATTTAATAAGTACTACAGTTAACAATTAAAGCCGTTAAAATTGTTTTAACAATACTCGCATAGCGTATACGTGATTAAACTTCAAACGACAATAATAATGGAAAAATCGAATATGACATTTTTAGACTTTTAATATTAAGTAAATGTATTAGTAAAAAAATCTTACCTTTGAAACATAACGCAACATAGTCCTTTGTAGTCGCCGTTCCTTTAGGTAGAGTCCAGGATACACGATACTGAGCACCTTCATCTGTCCAAGATATTTCCCCTTTTCCGATATCAGTCGGAATAGAGGCATCACTGGTGCTGGACAGTTTGGCACTTTGTTTATTGTGTGGCACATCGGTACAGCTCGGTCCATCATTTAGCATATCACTTTTATCACCACTTTCCATACTCTTTTCCTCCTCTGATGCTTTGTTAAGACTCTCCTCATTCTCAGACTCATTGCTTTGTCTATTCTGCTCTGTACTGTCTCCATTCTCACTCTCTTTGCTATATGTGGCACATTGTCCATCATGTTCAGACATGACTTTACACTCACGACATTATTTAATGGTCTCTGAATAAAAAACAAAATTGCAAGAATTGCAGCAAAGAATGTTGTAAATGTATACAAAGCGTTAGTGCTTCAAACATTAATGCTACTCTGAAGTGAAAGATGTTGAAGACGATTTTAAGGGGCTCTAGGGGGTTAGTTGGGGGTGGGCTAGGGGAAGCGACGCGACGCCTTGACGCCAGCCTACTTGGCGCCGGCTGTAATGCAGTGTATTCACAAATACTTATTTAATAACACAGACATATGAACATAAAGTCTGTTTATTTTTGCCTGAATACTCCAATTAGGACAGTATTTACACCTAATTAATTGTGTTATGATGATTAATAAATTTGAAAATAATGTATCATCCAAATTTCAATAGAATGTCTTATTTTAAAGTAAGAAATCATATATATATATATGTTTAACAAGATTAAAGTTTTTGTAAGATTTCCTTTTCTTAATCAACTGTGTGTAAGTAACATGTTTTATCTGATTTAAAAATCAGTAATTCATTGAGCTACTGAGAAGCTAAGTAGCTCAATTGGTAGAGCATCAGCACGGAACGATGCTGGTTCAAGTCCTGCCCGAGTCGATTTTTTTTTCAATTTATTTTCGATTTTTAAATTATATAGTGCATTCATGTGCAATAACATGTAAAAAATAATAAAGTTTCAAATGTTTTATCTGTCAACATTATTATGTTTGTATGTTGTATCCCAATGAAGGAGACAAAATAGTTTTTCATTAGTAGTAGAATGACATATTGGTAAATAAAATTTTGCTTGAATATATTTTTACAATAATTGTAATATATTCTAACGCACTATTAAACTTTTTTTTATTTTTAACTACAGAAAATTAGATAAAATGCACACAATGTTTTCAAAAAGGTTGTATAAGATAAGTTGCAAAGGCAAATTTATGTTGTGATTGTTTCAAATTTTTAATCATTATAGACTTACATACATAAAAAGGAATATGAAAAGATAGCTATAAAACTAACAAAACTTTATGATTAGTTATGCATAGTAAACTAAGAAGAATTAATAAGACAGAAATCAACAAAAATTATATTAGAACTATGGTAAGTTAAGATGAATAAAAAGGAATCTTATAAATTATTTGACTCAAGGTGGGAAGATATTAATATTTCTGAAATTTATAATGTTATTTCGAGAATGTGTCTTTATACAAAATATTTTTGGGTCAGGTGATGCCTATGGAGCTCTATAATACTGTAGAACTAAAATATTTTTAGGGAAACATGTTTAAGACTAATTTGACTTACCTATCTCTGAAATACTACTATAGTTGTAAAATTAAAGTGAAAAATTGCTATAGAGGTCTGCATTTTACACATCAATGTTACTGCCAAGGTTTGAAGACTCCTATATAGACCTAGAGTGTAAGCTGGCGCCAGGAAGATGCTGGATATAAAGTGATCAATAATGTTGACAAGAACACTGCACTATACACTAAAAATAAACGCACCCTTAGTAAAACGCAGTACGAAAACAGGTCATTAATTTACACTCGCATACACATTTCGATTTGTTACACTTTCTGTTAGAATTTGTATTTTGCGCGATTTTAAAAAATATCTTAATTGCTTCTTAGATTATTTTATTTTGAATTAGAACCGCATGCAGCAAACTGCGTGTTATGAAATATCAAATATCGACCAATTACTAAACAAAAGGATATATTAAAGAAGATCCGGATTGGCTACAAATTTGAAAACAATTGCATTTTGTACCAATATGACAACTTCAAAATGACATTATGTCATTGAACTATACACCTCTTCTTAAGTCCAAAACAATTAAGGCATAGAAACTAAGATGTACTTCGTAATATAAATATAAGCTGTTGTCAGCAAAAATATAATCTGTATGTTTTCGACTATGTACACTTCAACTAAATGTCAACCTCGTGTCAATTTTCAAGCACCAAATGTCAAAATCAATTCAAGCACCAAATGTCAAAAATTATGTATCGTTACATTTAAATGTTTTGAATTCTTGTTAATACATTGCTGATTTTTCGGAAAGATTTTTATTGCAGTGGATGTAAATATAGCCATTAACTAAAATTAGGGTCAATACAACAAAGATGACTTCTACATCAGATGCAGAGTCAAATGTTAGTAGCTTCATTTGTTACAATAATAAAAATTACAACCAACATTACACATGTATGGTCCAGGTACGTTGTTTTATTAAATTGTATTATGATTATCTATATTAGTATGTATATGTGATATTTAATGTATGTTTTAAAATGATAATAATGCACCTATAAATATTCAAACTTACAGAATTTAGAGCTCATCCATCAAGACATACTTGAAATAGAAAGGAATATGAAGAACATAATTCAAAATGCAGGTCCATTGGAAAGTCAATTGAACGCCTTGTTGAAGTCTTTACCTAAGCCAAATATTATCCTCCCTATGGAAACTGATTGATTTAACTTTTAATTAAAGATAAATGCTTTGTACATATATTAGAAGACATTGAAGTCTTTCTTCTCATAATATATTTATATATATTTATTGCAAGTAAATTCTTAGATATCTCTAATAGAATGAACTAGTTTTACTAACAATGTTTTTCAAACTTGTAGAAAATATTAAGATTACTGCCATCTTAGGATATAAGCAGTTTAAGTTCTACTGCAGATGATGAATTGTACTTGTACAGTTGTAATGGGAGAGAAGTATACCTTCTTTTTTGGGTGTTCATATTCATATTTTAGCCTAACGTTATTTGTGACTGTTCTATCTCTTGAAAGACAATTAAAAATAAGTATTAACTTTAGTTCACTTTATTTATTGATAGTTTCACAAATGGAAAATTAATACTGTTTTGTATGCTATTTTATAAACTATATTGTCTAAAGTAAATAAGCAATTTAAAATGTATTTAGATTGAAAATCACACCTCCAGGACTTAAGTGTCTTTAATTTATATAATGCCATCATGTGCTTTAACATGTAAAAACCGAAATTTACGCAAAACACACAACCCCATTAACTTATGGATGCAAATACCCTTTATAACCTTTTTTATATATCAAATAGCTATTTGTCGTCATAATAATTTATCCCTATAGAACCTTACTTTGCTTATATTTGACAATATGAAACTATGTGACACTAAGTTACTGACTGAGCACATGTCATACAACATCTTTTGTAAATAATAATAAAGACAAACATGGCAGCAATTAGCACTCGAGCAAAATCACCAGTTAGATCAGAAGCCATTTTAAAGGCTCTACAACGCGGTCCTGTATACTGCACTGGGGTACTTTTAGGTATTTTATTTTTAATATATTGCAATACAATATGGCTTCATGTTCAGCCAGTATAGTAGTAAAAAATGAACAATAATTATTTAACAAAAAAAACAATTATTTTTAACAACAATCTACAGCACTGGATAAGATCAAACACGCGTATACCTATACTTGGATGCTCCCTGAATACAGTGCTAATTTCTAGGTAATTGGGTCGAAGATAGAATAGAGTGTCCTAAAAAAGGCACTTTATATTTTCCACCTAAGGAGATAAAGTATGATGAACTAAAGCCAGAATCCCGACAACCGGATTTTCGGCAGAACAAATTAAGCAGTTTACAGGTGTTGATATATTGTACACAAGTAAATTTACCCAGTAGATACAGAATCGAGTTACGAGATTTATATTACTTAATATTTAAAAACTATAATACTAATCCAGATGTTCTTTTAAGTAATGTAAGTAACGCCAAATTCTATCTCTGTGCATTTAAAAGTAAAGAAAACTACGACGTGATATTATTATATTAATTGTAATCCCTAGAACTGTTATACATCGTATTTGGTATGCTTTACATCAGGGTAATGTTCATGCAATTATTCGGCATGACAGTCACGACTCCTGCGGAAACTACGCCACTACAACGGACCTCGTGTACAATCACCTGCCAAAGCCGCTCTGTGGCCCACAGCAACGATACTATAAGCGCAGTGCGCATCAATTCTACCCGCAACCGGATTTATTTAAATGCTTTGTAAGTATGCTTTGAAACAAAGATCTGGAATTATAAACCTTTGTTATGAGGCCAGGTTTTCGTCTGTCTGTATTAATTTTTAAACGTAAAATCTTAAACCCATTATAATGAAATTTGACTCTTAACGGTTGGAAGCACGAAGTATATTAGTAACGCAGAGACAAGGGAAACGTTGCACGCAGTGGCATATCTATAGCAGGGCCAGTTCATGCAGTGCACCAGGGCCCCGGAGCTTAGGGGGCCCTCTTCCCTCATATATGAAAAGAGATACCTAAGCTTATGAGAAAAAGGTTTTTTTATTGTTTTCAAACTAACCTATCTATAATTTGTGGGGCTTACGGGCTTTTGGGGTTCAAGCTACGCGAAAAGAAGGGATCAGGGCCCGATTCTTTCTTTAAACACTGGGGCCCTTGGTCACTTAGCTACGATACTGGTAGCACGCCGTAGTTAAAAATGTTAAACGTAAAAATGTATTTAAATGTGTTCTATGCGCATATACAATACGTGAATGATTCTTGTTACGCTTTATACACAATAAAGTAGCAACAGGGTTACAGGAGTAACAGGTAGACAGACAGCTGAATAAAAAAGGAATCTGAGACACAAAGCAGAGTAAGGAAATACATATTCTCTACAGGGAAACGCCACTGAATGGGGTTTGAGGAAGTATTTGCAACACGAATGGAAATGTACAGATGTCTCTGATTATGCCTCTACATTGTATGAAGATACTTATATACCGCCGAAACCACATCAGTATCTGCAACGATGTGAAAGGAAAGCGAGAAACTCGTAAGTTTTGCATCTGCAGATAAATGTGAAAGCCCATTTCCCCCTCGTGGGGCAGAGGGCGCACACATTTCTGTATCCGTTTCACTGATCCGTTCTTTCAACGGGCAAGTAGTTGATCAGATTTCTGTGCCCTGCCCGACAAAAACAATTTTTTTTTGTTTCCCAAGGATTCGAACCCAGGACCTTTTGCGTCACGTAATGCTAGGCAATACGTTTAATCATTTGGCTATAGAGACGCTAGCAAATGTATGTTGCTCAGCCTTATGCTTAGTAATATTATATCTATATATATATTAGTATGTTGAAGTTTTTTGTATTGTTTCTGAATTTTCTTTCTATCAGGAGTTCAATGAAAAATGTATATACTTTGACAATTTTATTTCAGGAGCTTTACAAAAAGTTTCCGTTTCAAGATGACAAAATCAAAAAAATGATAACATCAAGAATCATTGCCTTCATAATCAGCAAAATTACTAGTCTTTACATATCACATTTTGTTCAAAACATCCTTGGCTCGTAAAATTTTTTTAGCCCACACGCTGGCTATGTTTGAAATAATCGTGAAGTTTTTATTTCTTCCTCGTCAACCATGACAAAGTTTTAGCCGCATAATTGACCAAAAAAGTTACAAGCTTCAGGCAAATAGGACAGTGACGTCCATATAAAAATCGTAACAATAGAATAATTCTTAATGTTTTCATAATAGCCATCGCCCGGCACCGAGAACGAGATCAGCAAAATATCACTTACAACTACTTATAATACACAACCACTTACGGACTAATGAATGTGACAACTTAACAAAGAATCCTTAATTATAATGGCAGTCAATGGAACTTTAGTACAAAAATAAAACAATTCGAAGAATAAAAGATAAAAAGTTAGTCGAAAGTTAATAAAGGCGTGGCACCAAACTGGAGCCCTGGGCGAACCACGAAATGTTAACAGATCCCAAATAAACTTTGGGATCGTTGTAACTTAACCCATATAATCGATGCTCGAGTTCCATGCCACAAAAGTAGCATGACTAGTGGTAGAGCATTAATGAGACGCATACGAATTGACTTGAGGCAGCTTGATCAGTCCTGACCCACCAGGGGCTTTGAAATTATGCTCCGAACCGAATCCAGAGAAACTCTGCTGGAATCTAGGCTGAGGTATTCTCACATGATTGTTGTACTGCATTTGTGGGAATACGGGAGTCGAGAGCGGGGTAAAGGCCTGCGAACTTTGGTAGTTCATGTTGCAGCTTTGAAACCTATCTAATAAAACGGAAGCTCTATCTTGTTCTCCGCATACCGATTCCTCACGAGATGGAGGTTGAGAGAAGACATTTCTCTGAGTCATACTCGACGTTTGCGACTCGAACCCCGAACTTTGGCTAGACGAACGACTTCCGTTTATGTTGAACAGATGTCGTTCTCCATCCGAGCCCCAGTAACCTCCGGCGACCCACGAGGTGCCCAGCTTGCTAGGCGATATTACGGGCCGACCCCGATTTATCGGCATCGGAGTCGCAAAACTAGGAGAAGCGGTAAACTTTCGCAGTACAAATACTGGATTAGTTTTAGCCGTCTTCTTTTTTGGACTGCTTATGCACAGGGAACTAATACTTTCATCTAGGTCTGAATCGGACTCATCCTTCACAAGATTCTGATACTTGTTAAAAGATGGCTTTACAAATATAGGCGAGGAGCTCTTTGTAGTGGCAGAGTTAATAGTAAAAGTTGAATTGTGCTTTGGCTTGCTCCACAGACTATCATTCCTGGGTGTGAATGATCGACCGTTTGTGAAGCTACTATTAAGTGGGCTGAGGGTTTCGTTTGACGAGCTTGTGAAATTGTGCAAACCGAATTTACTCAGAGAAACATCGTCATCTGTGTCAAAGGAAATATCCTGATTATGTGTCTTAGTTATTGATCCATTTGTCAAATTTTTCATTTTTAAAGGTGTGGATTTAGGAACATTTGTAACAACTTTTGGTTGCATTTTGCTATAAAAAAGGAACACTGCTAAAACTGTAGATAGCTGAAAATAGAAAAAAAAGTAAATGTAAGCAATGTAATATTTATGAAACTAATATCTTGTCAAAAATGAATTTTATACTTACTTTTACCAAGCTGATAAGTAACTCATATCCAGTCAGGAATTGGTTGTATAAAGAGGTAGCTACAAATACTGTCCAGAGTAAGTCAATGGCCAAGGAATTATTCAAATTATTTATATTCCGTATGTGGCCTATTATTTGCAAGGAACATACAAAGCCTCCAAGGGCTTTCTGAGTCACATCATTGTATTCCGGTATTACTGTTGTATAATTTATATTTAGTGTTTTATTGATATCAAAAACAAAGCTCTCTAAAAATGGGAATGTCATTAGGGTCTTCATTTTTATTATTGTCATTATTCTTTCTATAAGATGAAACACACTGTGTTTTGTATAGCTTATTGTGTTGTGTACATTCTCATGTATATCTACATGTTCAAATATTTCATATGTCACTAGTACAATGAGTATGCCAGCAACAATTTTCGAGACATTATTAATTGTTTTTTGGAGAAATTTGTTTTGTTTTTCCTTCTTAGTTTTGTGTTTTTGGGGCGATCTTGTTTGTAACAACTTTGAGCCCAGCATACATTCCTTCTCTTTGTGCAATTTATACTGTAACACCCGCTTGCAGGGGCTGCATAGTTTATAAGCTTTTTCAAGTTGTGATCTGTAAATTATATTGTACTTCTTTTATAAATTATACAAAATTATATTATATACAATGTTATGAAAGTAATTTTATTTTAAATAAAAACAGTCAAAAGATTTTATACCTATGTCACACATTATTCAAAATAAAATATGGTCAAAGAGTAATGATTATTGATTAGGCATTAAAACAAACTTTTTGATAACACAACTAAAGTCATTTGTGTTATCTTATCAAAACAGCATTAGCAAATAAAAAAACTTACTTGTACAATTCTATTTCATGTTCAAAATTATTTTCATTCATAGGAATAAAATTAGCAAGCTGTGTCACCTTCAACTGTTGGTTTATATTACACATCTTGCAAAGACCATTTTTAGGAGGGCTTCTCTGTAATATGTTGGCTTTGTGCTGGTTATTTGAGGTAATGATTGGCTTATTATAATCGCCATCCTAAGATGCAAAATAAAATTCATTAGAATACCTTAAAGTAGGCAATCGTGATATGAAATTAGATCATTGAGTACGATTTTCTTTCAAGCTGTATTAAAATTGACAATTGTCATTATTTTCATTTTATAAACATACACGAGTTGCATATAATTATATACCTTATTGAATCCATTATATTGTTCGCATTTAGGACACATCCAACTGTTGCGATCAATAAATTTTATCCAAAAGTTACTGTTACAAAACCAACAGTTTACGCGCCACCGCAGTGCTGACCTTAAAATAGAATTACAAAGTAAAATTAGCACTTTTTATGAGGCGGGAAAGATATAGATATAACCTCTTATCACTTACCGCAAATTGTATAACAATTTCAACAATAGTAAAGTACATAACACAGAAGTTACAGCAATCAGCACTGAATCCATTTTATAAATAATTGTCATTTTTGGTCAATATTATCCTATTTTTATAATAATTTTATATTGTTTTAACTTAACCTAAAATATATGACACCCACCCACCATTCCTGCTTGTACAATACAGATTAAGGAATTTTAAGATAAAAAATTGTCAATGATGTACTAACAACAGGTAACAAATATAACTGCGATATGCTGATGACATATATTGATGTGTCAACTGTCGTCTGTCAGGTCCATGTGTAACTCATAAGTTTAATCCCGTGTTTATTCTTTGGTTATTTTCATGTTTTGTAACTATTAAACTTTATTGTTTGTGCATAAGAGAATAATCGGAATATTCTTCTTAACTTCAGAATAAAATGATTTTAGAAAAGGATATAACATTGCTTTGCAATTTTGATACCGCTGTCAATGATATAGGTATATTAATTAATTTATTGTGCGAGATAAACATCACGTATACTATATAATAGATAATTCTTATAATTAAAATTCTTTTTCAGGACTTAACAAAGGAAATCAGGACCTAACAAAGTTGTGGTTGGGTGATTGGTCTATACAAAATGTTGAACTATGCAAAGAATTGCTCAAGTCTGATTTAGAAACTAACGAAATAAATGTTATTTTAAAAAAATATGTCAATGACAAACAATCTTTGCACAACATTCTTCAAGTAGCTATAAGTACATTTCTGACATTTTGCGAAAGAAACTGGAACCCACACTGTGAAGAGGTTGACTTAAGTTGTTACTTGAATATGGAATGGCCAAGTTCTGTTGATGCATCAACGAGATTACAGTATGATTCAGAACCGTTGCACACAAACATAGTGTACCCTGAGTTACTATATTTTTCAAATCAAATATTCGCTGCTTTGTGTCAAGTTGATGGGAACATGGTAAGTATTTTAAATTTCAATAACTTGTTAATTTATGTCACCACAGTCTCAGTCAAAATGTTAAGGATTCTGTGACAACTTTTTTATGATGGCTATATTATAAAAAAAATATTTCGAAAACTGTTTTAAATAGTGTAATTATAACATTACTAAATTTTAATTATATATAGTTAGATATAATTTTTATTTGTTTATAATTAAAATGTTATCAAATAATCAATTTTCCATATATTTTCTTATGTCAGGTAAACTATTGGTGGCTCTTAAGAAGTAAAGTTGTTCACCAAAGAGTACTCGAAGATAACAGCGCAACACTGTATAAAGATATTGATTTAATTATTGCAAAACTGTATAACTTTGCACAAACTGCAAATGATCATAGATTGAAAGTGTTGCTTTATTTAGAGATAGCACAAGCATATGTTTTGTATGACAGAGTGCAAAAGGTTGAGGAATATCTGCTTAAGGCGAAAGAAGTAGCAGGATTAAAATTAGAATTAACAGGTATACATTATGTTTAAATCACTGTTAACTATTATAACAATTTGTAAAACATTAATGTCCTCACTTAGTTCTGCTGAAAAGACTCTTATTAAAGAATAGGTCATGTTCCAGTAATCAAATTTTTTTGTTTAACCCTCAAGGACATATCACAGCACATTCACAAATTTTATGATTAAGCGACAAATGAATTGTGTTAAACATGACAAGACACACATTATGATGTATACAACTATCGAGATGTGTCAGCTACTTCGTCCGCGAAAATCGTTATTTTAGACATCCAAATTTGTTTTTTTTCTTGAATCCCTTTATAAACTTAAGCTGTTGCCCACGACGTCGGTGGCGTCCCTTTTCGTCGTTCTTGCAACTTAATCTTAAAAGATAGACATATAGCGGACTTTTTTTTTTGATCATTTAAAGAGGAATAATTTAAATAAATTCGTATGCCATGGAAATCCATAATGATTAATAATTTTCCCCATTTTTTTTTTTCACATTACCCTAATCTCTTTAATTCGAATCAGTAGGCCCCGAGATTAGCGCGCTCAAACAAACAAACAATCTCTTCAGCTTTATATATTAGTAAGTATAGATTTATAGTATCTAGGTTCTTTTCATTAATTTCTTTGTGTGATAAGCATATTAAATTTCTTACCGCACATTTTAATACATATTACATTTTACACCTATTACATACATTTTTCTAACCATTGTTTCTACAAAATATAACTTCATTGTTATGAAGCTGCCTATAGGACTACATGGTTATAAATTTCCTCTATTTCTAATTATTATATTATTGTTTGAAAAACTAATCAAAACTAACACTACTTTTCTATTTCAGGGGTTCTAGGCAAACGCACAAAGTTCCAACAAACATCTCTACCACAGTTAGCACTTACAAGTCAACTTGATGGTAATATAGTACGCATTTCCGCTGAGGAGAGCCACGGTACATCTCAGTTGCCGCCTGATGTGGAATTACAGGATGATGTAAGGTTGAACAAGATTGAGTTCAATGAGACAATATCCCAGATAGAACTCCCTAGCCTTGAGCAAATGCTTTGCCTATTGACTGTGTAAGTACCAACATTAATTAATACTTAAATTAATTGATATTGAACTAAAGATAAATTAGGTAGTTTTAAAATTGTTATAATATTGGCTATACATTTGGCACTTTATTTTTTCATACTTCATCTATCTATACTAATAAATAAAGCCGAAGAGTTTATTTGTTTGAACGCGCTAATCTCAGGAACTACGGGTTCGAATTGAACAATTTTTTCGAAATAAAATTGTGTTGGTTAAAGCATTTATCGAGAGAAGCCCACAAAAATATGTAAGAGAGAAAGATTCCTCTTTATATGATCTAAAAAAATCCATGTCGCTATATTTCTATCTTCTAAGAATAACTTGCAAGAACGACGGGAACCGAACGACGAGGCACAAGCGACTGGACGCGTCAAATGACGTAGGTAACAGTTTGTAAAAACAATTTTGGATGCCCAAAATAACTGTTCTACGCGGACGAAATAGCTGATTATTTAGCTAGTTTATCATGAGTTTTTAAAATTTATTGAAAAATAACACCGAAACAAATCCAATCCATGTGCATAATTAAATTAAACTATTGTTAACCTTGAACAATAAAAGAATAGTAAATAAGTTTTTCAAAATATATTTGAAGGAAAAGCAAGATTCGTTCTCTATGTAACTTTTAAAAACCTAATTAAAATTATTTATTTTTAGTCAGTACCTTCAAAAGGCTCAACCGAAAGATGACTTATTGGAAGAGGAACTGCGACCATACATTGATGCTGTCCTTTATCAAAAGAGTGGAGCGTGGCCATGCCGCGTAGCAGCACTTTTAATTAGATGCAAATTGGAAGCAAGCCACAAACGTACTGTGGAACGAGCCATGTTGCAGTGCGAGACAATAGTTAATGATAAGACAGGCATATCTCCTACTAATCGGTAAGTCTATTGCCAAAGTTATAGATAAAAAATATACATAGTTAGCAATTCAATCTTTTGTTCTGTTACAAAATATGATTCTAGCACTTTTACTAATAACCATGTTGATAAGCAATTAATGTGGTTAAGAAAATTTTATAGTAAACACCTCATGCCCAATATTGAACAATATTACTACTACTGGGTTGATGTGGCTGCAGATCTGTGCACTTATTTCTTTAAAACTCATCTATGCTATGCGGCTATGTCTATATCTCATTTGTTATATCATTTAATGCATAGGTTGCTTTTAATCAAAGCAAAATGTGTAGAGTGTTGTAATCAGGAAGAAATATTATTCCAGGTCAAATTCTTTTTTAGTAAAACAGTAGTTATATATCTATAAATAATCAGTACACATTCCTATCTATTGTATATATTTCAAAGATTTTAATAATATATTATTATCTGATTTTGTGTCTACATCATACTTTTTTCTAATTTAGATGTTTTAGCCCTAATGTTTTTATAAATACAGAGATGTATATATATACTGTAAATTAAAACAATTCACAGGCTATCATATCTTTGGGCATCAGGGTTACCATGTGCTTGGACATGGAGACAACAATTGGCAGATTTGTACCTCAGCTTAGGTCTTGTTAAGGCCGCCCTAGAGGAATACCAGAAGTTGCAGTTGTGGGAAGATGTTATTGTCTGCTATACATTGCTTCAGTTGAGACATAAGGTGATTTTTAAATTTTAAGACGAGTGTTTTGGTTAAACCTGCGAAGAAACTTGACCTCATTGGTTTAAAGATTACAAAGTATGACTAATAATCATTGGGACTTCAGATTCAGAATTTTCTGAAAGTTCATCATCGTCCATATTCATGAAACCCCAAAGTATGGCCATCATAATTTTTTTGGCTGGTAACTGTAGTTAAAATTGCATAAGTTCCTGTAAACTCAAATCCTGTAACTAAAATATTTCAACCTTCACTTACGGTTTTATGATTAATTGTGTCTTAAATATAATTAAAGTTGTATTTACCCGCATAGTAAGTTGTATACAATGAAATTTATATAATTTTCAGGCAGCAGAAGTAATCCAACAGCAAATTGATATAAACCCAACTGTGAAATTATATTGCCTTTTAGGAGATGCAACTGGTAAGACATATTATATTTCGAATTTGAAAATTTCACAATAAAGCATAATTATACAGAATATATACATATTATCTAAACATTCATAATCTGTAGTTAAGACAAAAAACCTCTTATCATTTCTCTACTTTCTTTCTCTCTATCACTTAATATATTATCTGCAAAGAAGTCAATACTCAGACTAATGTGTATTGCCTCGTTATAATAGTTTAACAAGTGAACCGAGAGATTTATAGCGATAGGTGCATCTAGAAATTTAAAAAATATATCTAGTTATTTCCCAGATGACGAAAGTTGCTATGAAAAAGCTTGGGAGTTCTCTGGACACAAGAGCAGCAGAGCACAACGTCACTGGGGCAACTTTTTATTCGATCGCAAGAGATACAGGGATTGTATACCCCATTACGAGATGTCTTTGCAAATCAACTCTATACAAGAGCATATTTGGCTGAGACTTGGGTGCGTATAATAATTTTTAGATAAAATAAAAAAGTTCCTCACCCTCCAAATGTCTCAAATAATAACAGTCGACTTGCTGCTAAGAAGAAACCACTTTTTTGAAGGTTAATTTGACGTTAAGTAACATATCGTTTCCCCTTTGGGGCATGGGGCAGACGCATTCTCGTGCCCTTTTCTCTGATAGAATTTATTTACGGGGCAAATTGATAATCGAAATGACTTCTGTGCCCTGCTTGATCGAGAAAATGTATCTGTCTGATGTAACCCTGGATTCACACCTAGAATCTCTTGTGCCTAAACAAAAAATCTTGGCCAATAAATTGATACACTAATTTACAACCGAATATTATATACTTATCATAACATATATGTTGTGTTGGTTTTTGACATGGAGTATCTTAAGAAAATAATAAAACTATTACATTTGGTTACTTAGGGTTTTATATATATAATTTAACAATAAGTTTTATTAATTTAATTACTTTAAATTATTTTAGTTACGCTGCCCTGACCACAGAGAATTGGGAACTATCGGCCAAAGCGTATAGGCGATATACATATCTTCACCCTAATACTTTTGAAGCCTGGAATAACTTAGCTAAAGTGTACGTGAAGCAAGGAGAGAAAGATAGAGCCTACAAAGCCTTGATGGAGGCTTTAAGATTTAATTATGATAATTGGAAAGTAAGTCTATTTGTACATAAATCTGAAAGTTTGCGAAGATCAGTATCTTCACAAACTGTCAGATTTAGTTTAGTAGTAGATCAGTATCGTCTATAGTTTACGCGAGTTGTACACATTTAAATAAAACACTTTAACGGTTTAAAACGCGATATATTCATTAAACTTAAATCATTTTCAAATAAGTTTAACTAATTTATCGCGTTTTAAACCGTTAAAGTGTTTTATTTAAATGGATCAGTATCTTCACAAGATTTCAGATTTAGTTTAGTAGTAGATGCAGTTGCAGATTTTAGTTTTTGTACCAAAAGGAAGTATGTGTTTCTAAACATGATTATCATCATTGTTCTTTTCGGCTCTTTTGGTACAAAAGCGTCACAAAAGTCTATTATATTTTGATGATATGATTATTCAATATTACCATATTGTTTTACAAATAAGTACAATGTAAAACCGTCTTATTATTTGAGGCTGCTAGAGGCAGAGTATAAAAAAAAACATGCAAACAAACATTTTTAATAAGAAGGAAAATATAAATACACAATTAACTCAGGCGAAAATGAATTTGTAATAATATTTGTGTAAGAACGATGTTCTGAATTTCCGGTCACTGTGCTCTTGTAGATTAACATTTTTAAGACTATAAACATATAACTAATTTAAGGTTTGAAAACATTAATATTTTTCACATGTTATTGCACATGAAGGCACTATATAATTTAAAAATCGAAAATAAATTGAAAAAAATTTTTCGACTCGGGCAGGACTTGAACCGGCATCGTCAGCTTTCCGTGCTGTTGCTCTACCAATTGAGCTACCGAGTCCTACACCTCATCGTCGAATTTTTTCAACTTATTGATACATGCACCTCTCGCGCAATGTAATTTCTACCTTAACACTTGCGTATTAAGGCTCAATGTCTTATGCTTTGCAGCTTAAGAAATCATTGAAGATGAAATTACAAAGTTATAACGTTTGAAAACATTAATATTTTTCACATGTTATTGCACATGAAGGCACTATATAATTTAAAAATCGAAAATAAATTGAAAAAAATTTTTCGACTCGGGCAGGACTTGAACCGGCATCGTCAGCTTTCCGTGCTGTTGCTCTACCAATTGAGCTACCGAGTCCTACACCTCATCGTCGAATTTTTTCAACTTATTGATACATGCACCTCTCGCGCAATGTAATTTCTACCTTAACACTTGCGTATTAAGGCTCAATGTCTTATGCTTTGCAGCTTAAGAAATCATTGAAGATGAAATTACAAAGTTATAACGTTTGAAAACATTAATATTTTTCACATGTTATTGCACATGAAGGCACTATATAATTTAAAAATCGAAAATAAATTGAAAAAATTTTTCGACTCGGGCAGGACTTGAACCGGCATCGTCAGCTTTCCGTGCTGTTGCTCTACCAATTGAGCTACCGAGTCCTACACCTCATCGTCGAATTTTTTCAACTTATTGATACATGCACCTCTCGCGCAATGTAATTTCTACCTTAACACTTGCGTATTAAGGCTCAATGTCTTATGCTTTGCAGCTTAAGAAATCATTGAAGATGAAATTACAAAGTTATAACGTTTGAAAACATTAATATTTTTCACATGTTATTGCACATGAAGGCACTATATAATTTAAAAATCGAAAATAAATTGAAAAAATTTTTCGACTCGGGCAGGACTTGAACCGGCATCGTCAGCTTTCCGTGCTGTTACTCTACCAATTGAGCTACCGAGTCCTACACCTCATCGTCGAATTTTTTCAACTTATTGATACATGCACCTCTCGCGCAATGTAATTTCTACCTTAACACTTGCGTATTAAGGCTCAATGTCTTATGCTTTGCAGCTTAAGAAATCATTGAAGATGAAATTACAAAGTTATAACGTTTGAAAACATTAATATTTTTCACATGTTATTGCACATGAAGGCACTATATAATTTAAAAATCGAAAATAAATTGAAAAAATTTTTTTTTTTTTTTTTTTTTCGACTCGGGCAGGACTTGAACCGGCATCGTCAGCTTTCCGTGCTGTTGCTCTACCAATTGAGCTACCGAGTCCTACACCTCATCGTCGAATTTTTTCAACTTATTGATACATGCACCTCTCGCGCAATGTAATTTCTACCTTAACACTTGCGTATTAAGGCTCAATGTCTTATGCTTTGCAGCTTAAGAAATCATTGAAGATGAAATTACAAAGTTATAACGTTTGAAAACATTAATATTTTTCACATGTTATTGCACATGAAGGCACTATATAATTTAAAAATCGAAAATAAATTGAAAAAATTTTTCGACTCGGGCAGGACTTGAACCGGCATCGTCAGCTTTCCGTGCTGTTGCTCTACCAATTGAGCTACCGAGTCCTACACCTCATCGTCGAATTTTTTCAACTTATTGATACATGCACCTCTCGCGCAATGTAATTTCTACCTTAACACTTGCGTATTAAGGCTCAATGTCTTATGCTTTGCAGCTTAAGAAATCATTGAAGATGAAATTACAAAGTTATAACGTTTGAAAACATTAATATTTTTCACATGTTATTGCACATGAAGGCACTATATAATTTAAAAATCGAAAATAAATTGAAAAAAATTTTTCGACTCGGGCAGGACTTGAACCGGCATCGTCAGCTTTCCGTGCTGTTGCTCTACCAATTGAGCTACCGAGTCCTACACCTCATCGTCGAATTTTTTCAACTTATTGATACATGCACCTCTCGCGCAATGTAATTTCTACCTTAACACTTGCGTATTAAGGCTCAATGTCTTATGCTTTGCAGCTTAAGAAATCATTGAAGATGAAATTACAAAGTTATAACGTTTGAAAACATTAATATTTTTCACATGTTATTGCACATGAAGGCACTATATAATTTAAAAATCGAAAATAAATTGAAAAAATTTTTCGACTCGGGCAGGACTTGAACCGGCATCGTCAGCTTTCCGTGCTGTTGCTCTACCAATTGAGCTACCGAGTCCTACACCTCATCGTCGAATTTTTTCAACTTATTGATACATGCACCTCTCGCGCAATGTAATTTCTACCTTAACACTTGCGTATTAAGGCTCAATGTCTTATGCTTTGCAGCTTAAGAAATCATTGAAGATGAAATTACAAAGTTATAACGTTTGAAAACATTAATATTTTTCACATGTTATTGCACATGAAGGCACTATATAATTTAAAAATCGAAAATAAATTGAAAAAAATTTTTCGACTCGGGCAGGACTTGAACCGGCATCGTCAGCTTTCCGTGCTGTTGCTCTACCAATTGAGCTACCGAGTCCTACACCTCATCGTCGAATTTTTTCAACTTATTGATACATGCACCTCTCGCGCAATGTAATTTCTACCTTAACACTTGCGTATTAAGGCTCAATGTCTTATGCTTTGCAGCTTAAGAAATCATTGAAGATGAAATTACAAAGTTATAACGTTTGAAAACATTAATATTTTTCACATGTTATTGCACATGAAGGCACTATATAATTTAAAAATCGAAAATAAATTGAAAAAATTTTTCGACTCGGGCAGGACTTGAACCGGCATCGTCAGCTTTCCGTGCTGTTGCTCTACCAATTGAGCTACCGAGTCCTACACCTCATCGTCGAATTTTTTCAACTTATTGATACATGCACCTCTCGCGCAATGTAATTTCTACCTTAACACTTGCGTATTAAGGCTCAATGTCTTCGACGATGAGGTGTAGGACTCGGTAGCTCAATTGGTAGAGCAACAGCACGGAAAGCTGACGATGCCGGTTCAAGTCCTGCCCGAGTCGAAAAATTTTTTTCAATTTATTTTCGATTTTTAAATTATATAGTGCCTTCATGTGCAATAACATGTGAAAAATATTAATGTTTTCAAACGTTATAACTTTGTAATTTCATCTTCAATGATTTCTTAAGCTGCAAAGCATAAGACATTGAGCCTTAATACGCAAGTGTTAAGGTAGAAATTACATTGCGCGAGAGGTGCATGTATCAATAAGTTGAAAAAATTCGACGATGAGGTGTAGGACTCGGTAGCTCAATTGGTAGAGCAACAGCACGGAAAGCTGACGATGCCGGTTCAAGTCCTGCCCGAGTCGAAAAATTTTTTCAATTTATTTTCGATTTTTAAATTATATAGTGCCTTCATGTGCAATAACATGTGAAAAATATTAATGTTTTCAAACGTTATAACTTTGTAATTTCATCTTCAATGATTTCTTAAGCTGCAAAGCATAAGACATTGAGCCTTAATACGCAAGTGTTAAGGTAGAAATTACATTGCGCGAGAGGTGCATGTATCAATAAGTTGAAAAAATTCGACGATGAGGTGTAGGACTCGGTAGCTCAATTGGTAGAGCAACAGCACGGAAAGCTGACGATGCCGGTTCAAGTCCTGCCCGAGTCGAAAAATTTTTTCAATTTATTTTCGATTTTTAAATTATATAGTGCCTTCATGTGCAATAACATGTGAAAAATATTAATGTTTTCAAACGTTATAACTTTGTAATTTCATCTTCAATGATTTCTTAAGCTGCAAAGCATAAGACATTGAGCCTTAATACGCAAGTGTTAAGGTAGAAATTACATTGCGCGAGAGGTGCATGTATCAATAAGTTGAAAAAATTCGACGATGAGGTGTAGGACTCGGTAGCTCAATTGGTAGAGCAACAGCACGGAAAGCTGACGATGCCGGTTCAAGTCCTGCCCGAGTCGAAAAATTTTTTCAATTTATTTTCGATTTTTAAATTATATAGTGCCTTCATGTGCAATAACATGTGAAAAATATTAATGTTTTCAAACGTTATAACTTTGTAATTTCATCTTCAATGATTTCTTAAGCTGCAAAGCATAAGACATTGAGCCTTAATACGCAAGTGTTAAGGTAGAAATTACATTGCGCGAGAGGTGCATGTATCAATAAGTTGAAAAAATTCGACGATGAGGTGTAGGACTCGGTAGCTCAATTGGTAGAGCAACAGCACGGAAAGCTGACGATGCCGGTTCAAGTCCTGCCCGAGTCGAAAAATTTTTTTCAATTTATTTTCGATTTTTAAATTATATAGTGCCTTCATGTGCAATAACATGTGAAAAATATTAATGTTTTCAAACGTTATAACTTTGTAATTTCATCTTCAATGATTTCTTAAGCTGCAAAGCATAAGACATTGAGCCTTAATACGCAAGTGTTAAGGTAGAAATTACATTGCGCGAGAGGTGCATGTATCAATAAGTTGAAAAAATTCGACGATGAGGTGTAGGACTCGGTAGCTCAATTGCTAGAGCAACAGCACGGAAAGCTGACGATGCCGGTTCAAGTCCTGCCCGAGTCGAAAAATTTTTTCAATTTATTTTCGATTTTTAAATTATATAGTGCCTTCATGTGCAATAACATGTGAAAAATATTAATGTTTTCAAACGTTATAACTTTGTAATTTCATCTTCAATGATTTCTTAAGCTGCAAAGCATAAGACATTGAGCCTTAATACGCAAGTGTTAAGGTAGAAATTACATTGCGCGAGAGGTGCATGTATCAATAAGTTGAAAAAATTCGACGATGAGGTGTAGGACTCGGTAGCTCAATTGGTAGAGCAACAGCACGGAAAGCTGACGATGCCGGTTCAAGTCCTGCCCGAGTCGAAAAATTTTTTCAATTTATTTTCGATTTTTAAATTTTTTTTTAAACTAATTTAAGTCATAAAAATTGCAGTTAGGCTACTCTGTCACTAGCAGTCTCATTTATTGTAAGTACAAAAATTAATTTGTTTCAGCTATGGGAGAACGTGATCATAGTAAGTGTGGATACAGGCCATTTTGATGACGTCATTCGGGGTATACACCGTATTCTTGATTTGCAGAATAAGTTCGAAGACGTGGAAGTTCTTGCGCTTTTGGTGAATGCTATTGTTAAAGATAATGAAGATGCAGATGGACAGGGTTCAGCAAGGTGGGGCTTTAATCTTATTAGAAAATAATTTGGAATCGCGAATATTAGTGGATTGAGAATATTTGATCAAGACCTGCATTACGTGGAAGTTACAATGGTAGCATGGATAGCTCAGATACATTTTTAGATGGAGCATAATTATTTAAGGTCTAATAAAGCGACTCCAGCGCCGTCTATGAGACATAAGTCGGTCTTTAAACTCATAAATAATGTATTTTAATTCCTTACAGATTAAGAAAACGTGTGCTTGAATTATTCGGAAGGATAACATCCATCCATCAAAACAAAGCAGACATTTGGCAGTTATATTCTGATATAAGTCCCTCTTACTTACTAAAGGCACAGCGGTTACTCAAAAGTTATAGGTGCATAACTCAGGTAAAAAATACATAATATTATTATCTAACTATTTTATATTTGTATTAAATATATTGATTTAGTTATTCAACTCCAAAATCTCTTACATTTTAGTTAGACAGGCTAATTCTAAATCTAATATAACTATTTCAGAATAGCAACTGGGCAAGTGATCCAAAGACATGTGAAAAAGTAATAGAATTGTCACAAGATATGCTAACGTACAGCTTAAAAGCTCGTCAGGAGGCTGAAGAAAAAGATGTACTTCAAGCGAACCAGCAATTATCATCAGCTAGGCTAACTGGACAAGCCGTCATACGGGTGATAGAAAAGCAATACCCCGATATAAATATAGAGGAACTACGAGAACATTTTACCCTTGTTACTGAATATATGAAATCTATTATGTACATATAGTTTTATTTGCCCCTTTTAGTTGAAAAAGCAGATGTCAAATAATCTCTATAATATATATGTATAATTGTTTATTTGCATAAACTAGGAAATATTAAATCAGGCTTCCTCAAATCAAAAGACAGGGTCACGATCAATTTAAAAGACCTTTCCTTTTATTTTTTATAAAATAATTCTGAATTTATATTTTTATTTTCTACAAAGCTGACACAATTTGTAGTAATTTAAACTTGAGTTCCGGACTTTCAAGTTTCTATTAGTAAATTCAAGTTTTATGAACTAAATAACAACTAGGGCATTCCGTGTTTACAGTTTACTAAAATTTTGTCACACTCAACTTATGTTTGTTTGATAGTTTCCCGTTATAAGTACACACTTGTGTAATACTATGGTCGAAGTTTAATCTGTATAACTTTCTGACTTCACACATACAGAACGTCAAGATTGACATTGATTTATCTTATATGTTGTGATAGTTTTATCATGTATTATTAAATTATGGGAGTATGTCATTGTTCTCATAAGAATCTAACTTTGTTTAGATATGAATAAAATTTTGTGAAATTACTTTAATCTGCCATGGCCGCGGCCAACGACGATGAGATTTTGGAGGGCTTTCTATGTCCTATATGCAAAGCAGATTTAAAATCAGCTACACAGCTAACGAGCCATTTTGAGAGCCAACATGAAGAGGAACAAGATTTATTACGTTCTCTTAAAGATATCTTTGGTAAAGCAAAGAAGATTATTCTCAATGCGGATGAGAGTGAGCTGAAAGAAACCTTTGATCGTGCGTTGAGGCTAAATACTCAAGATACGTTCTATGTTGAGGAAGAACAGACGGTGGGTGTATGTAGGAGTTCTAGCGAATACTTTCGAGCTGTAAGATCAGCGAGGCTTGAACGATATGCCACTGAGACGAATAAGCTGCTGATTAGATTGGATAAATTAGTTTGTAATATGCCTACCGAGCCAAGCCAAAGGAAACAGCATGAACAGGAAGTGAGTATTTATTAGTAATAAGTATAATACTGTAGTTCTTAGAACACTACAGATTCATTGCACGAGAGGTGCAAGTTGTAAAAAATCTATTACAACATGTAGGATGTGTTGTAATTTTTTTATTCATCCATTAACTTATACACTACAGGTATATAGTTAGACATTAGGTGTGAATAAATTGTGGTTACTAATGTAAAATTACTATTATACTTATAGTATAGTCATACTTTGAACATTGACTACATACAAAAATTAATTAAAATACACAACTATAATATTAATTATAGCTATGATTATTAGCTACCTGTACTTTTATTACTCATAAAGGATGAAAATAAACACAGTTATTATTGAATAAATTCAGATTTAAAAGTAGGAGTTTTGTGTTAGAATTAAAAGGCCTTTCCGTATATTGTTGAGGGATCAAATTATCAACATGCTAAATAAATAATTCTGATAATTAAAATGCTTGTAATTACCCTTATTTTGTATATTTTAGGTTGTACCCTGGTTAGATGGATCATCAGTAAAACTGTGTCCAAACTGTGCTAAACCATTTAGTCTCACTAGAAGAAAACACCATTGCAGGCTGTGTGGTTCCATATTATGCCATGATTGCTCTTTGTTCTTAGATCTTAATATAGCCAGTAAGTGAAGACTTCTATTTTAAAAGAAACCCTTTAAGTGCATGCTAAAATTAGCTAAGGTTTTTCACAAATAACACTGTTGTAATACAATGTAGGGTTTATTTCTAGTATTTACGAACATGTCATATTGATTTTTATTTCTATTCTTATACAAATCTTAAAATGTATTTTTTATTAATACATTGTAGGGTCATTTTAAAAGTAAATTACAGTAGAAATGTTACATATATATTTCTGTATGCTTGTTAAGGATTTTTAGCTTTTGAAATATTTCAGAGCCTCTGCCAAGTCAAGCAAGAAAAAGTGTTGCCATCCCTTTATTAAGTTAGTTTTTCTATTTCTACAAAAGTTCAAAGGTATACCAATTTATGCCACCACTTTCAGAAGCTATAGTGGACCCATCTGCACCTCAACCGCAGCCATCCCAAGAAGTGACAGAGAAGACAGGCCTCCGTCTATGTGAGCATTGCTACAATCTAGTGGAGCTGCGGAAACAAATGCAAGAGAGTCGTAACGCTAAGACTGCATTGATGACGTCTTATGAGCAAATGCAGAGTTTAATGGACCAGGCGAGACCGTCCGTGGCTATGTATGAAAAGGTTGCTTTTGAATTTGATAGTATGTTTTTAATCAAAGGATGAGACAGCCCATCTTCGTCTACAATCATTAGATGGATTTCATCCATGTCTATTCTATTTTATCTCTATGTAGGATATGCGTTAAGAACCAATTTCCGTTGCCAGACTGTATACATAGACTAGCTGTGTCAGCGCCTTCGTCCGCGAGAATCGTTATTTTGAGCATCCAAATTCGATTTTGCATGCGCCTTCAGCTTTATAAACTTAAGCTGTTGCCCACGACATCGGTCGCGTTTCTTCCCGTCGTTCTTGCAAGTTAATCTTAAAAGATAGACATATAGCATCGCCCTTTTTGTAGATCATTTAAAGAGTAATCATTCTTTTATACATATTTCTTGGGTGTCTTAAACCATTTTTGCAGCCTACGCCGAGGAAACCCATAGTGATGAATCATATTCCCATTTTTCGCCGTATCTTTGCTTGTATTAATCACGCGGGTGATGTTTTATGGCCTATAGGCCTCGATAAATGTTCTAATCGACACGATAAGCTGGTTCAAACAAACAAACTCTTCAGCTTTATATATTAGTATAGATAAGGCAATATATATTTCATTATTATTTCAGATGTGTCAAAGCCTCTTCGATGGTGAAACGACATACAATCTACAAGACGTGAACGCTATGCGTGGTAAAATTGGCAAATTGGCTGAAGGGATCGACTTGTTGAGTAAACAGATAGTTACCTTTGCAGGTGAACCAGGGACTAGACAAGCCAAATTACAGAATTCCATTAGACAGGCAGCTGTTAATTATATTAAGGTAATTTGTAGTAGATTTAGTACAAATTTAAGTCAGTCAATTAGCATTATTTATGAGGTGAGGTATTTAAGAAAAACTATATACAATATCTAAAGTACAATCAACTAACGTCTAACAACACCTAACATCAACTAAGAAACTATTGTCAGCGACTTCGTCCATATACAATAGTTACTTTGGTCACCAAATTTTGTTATCTGCAAACATATTTAAAAATATGTTTACCTGTTACCCACGATGTCTTCAGTCCTGTGGTCCTTGCAAGTTAATCTTAAAATATAGACATTTATTGTCGCGAATATTTTGATAAAGCATTTAATAAAGAATTATTCGTTCTTACATAGGTTTTGGGTATATTAAACCGTTCTCGTAAACGGAAACCTACAAGGATAAATAATTTTACCCGTTTTAGAGATTAGCGCATTTAAACAAACTAGTCAGCTTTATATATTAGTACAGATTAGTGAAGAAAAAAATATTTTTCAAACTGCTTAAAATTATCAAAAGAAAAATATAACGTTTAGTACAATAGTTTGGTACTAAAAATAAATTGGTTCAGATTAACTGAACTATATTAATTTCACATTGCATCGATAGCATTATATAATTACGTTCTTTTTGTATTTATACAAAAAAAATACTATGTTATAAACGTCTTAACAAAATTAAAGCGGTACCAATGATAAAATAAAATCATAATTTTTAATAGGAGGAGTTATTATCTCTACGCAAGCTCCCGACTGAATCCCGAATAGAAGAAGTACGTAAAGAGCGCTACGAACGAGCTCAAAGACAAGTAGAGCTGGAGAGGAGACGAGTAGAAAAAGAGAGAGAATGGAAAGAAGGAGAAGGGAGCCGAAATGGTGGGGCGAGCATACAGCATGATGACGATAATCCGCTACTGGAACAGATGAATATCATCAGAGGGTATATAAGAGATGCTAGGAAGGAGCTAAGGTTTGAAGAGGTGAGTGTCTTATTTTGTAGTTAGTAGTTACAAAATTGTATTTGGGCTGAGTTTACGGCCCAATGTCAAAAGAATTAACGTTATTTTTCTGATAAAACGTGGAAAACAAGCCTAGCTAGATACTGTCTGTAGTTTACACGAGTAGTACACATTTAAAAAACCACTAACGGTTCAAAACTGCAGCTGAAGTTGGTTGGTTGGTGTTTGGTTCGCCAAATAACAATTTCGACGGAACAGATGGCGCTAGCGTAGTAGTTTTTACTTTGGCGTCAGAGACACCCTCTTTATCTATATTATCTTTAGTCTTCCCGTGACCTCGACTGCTGCAAAGCATCTGAAACGTCGGGCCGTATTAAAATATTTTTCAAACAAGTTTAACTAATATATATCGCGTTTTAAACGGTTAGTGTTTTATTTAAATACATACGCCTAGCTAGGTCAATCATTGGCTACGTTGCGGTTTGATGGCTATTTTTTTTTTAATTATTACTATTTTTGTTCTAGGTGGCCATACTAGAAGCTAATCTAAAAGAATTGAAGAAAGAATATCAGCTGCAAATGCTCTCAAACAAAACCTAGTCACGGCTTATTTAATATTTATTACGCTAGTGTATTCCATTATTTATTAAGTAAAATATAACATTGTAATTTGTAATTATAATAAAATTCAATATAATATTTACATTTTTCGTATCAGTCTTAAATCACCCAGATTGCTTCTGTTTCATTTTCTCTAACTTATCTAGTTGTTTTAGTAACTGAGGCCGTGTGCATAACGCCTTTTTTACCGCCTCGTCTAATAATTTCTTCTGATAGTAGGGGGGTATAGGTGTATCTTCCAAGTGGAACGTGTGAATGCGACCTAACGTATCTCCAACGAAAACGTTGTCTCCGGAGGGCGAAAATTTAATGTACATCAATAATACGCTGGGATGAAACGCGTATTCCGCACATGGTATATGAGTCTTGCGACGGAGATCCCAAATCGATAATACGTTACCGCTAGCCGATATTAATATCGTCGAGTTTATTGGACAGAATGCGATGTCAAATACTGCGCTAGGGCAGTTAAGCGTCATAATTACATCGTCCATGCCCTCAATCCATAGACGTATCGCATTATCTGCCCCACACGACACCAGAAGCGTATTCATGAATGGGGAATACTCCATGCTGTAGACAGGCCCCGAATGAGCTCGAAACACATCCATGTGTTGGTTTAAATAATGTGTCGAACATTTATGGATGCAGCCTTCATCTGTCCCCACAAGGTATATGTGGTCAATCACTGGATGCCACTTCATGCACAGAGCTGCTGGATATCTCGTTACTGGTACGTCAACCTTCAAGCATTGTTTCGGTGTCTCCAACTCCTTCATTTGCCCCTCCACAGTGGAAATTCGCATCATCGGTGTACATATAAAATCATGCGTCTTAGTGCTTGTAAACCTATTAATTCTTCCGTCTTGACACGTCGTCATCAAGTATTGGTTATCCTTATCTATGCTCCGCCAGCAAATCGCCCAAATTGGTTCGAAGCAAGGATTAGTGTCTCTCTCACTCTTAGCTATTGTTTTAATTGTGTATGAAGTAACATCTAGGATTAACACGTCACCATTAGCAAATCCGCATCCCAACCAATTAGGATTCTTATCAGAAAATGCCACTGAAGTGAGCGGATCCTGGAAATGATACATCCGCTCCGGTTTGCATGGATTTTTCGTACACCAAACACAAACTATACCAGACATGTGATCAGCGTAAGTATACTTTCCATGGCCGACTGCCATAATGTTTTGGTTCTTAGGGTTGAAAGAAATGCTCGTTATCGGTCGGTTAGCGGCCTCTTCACACTCGAGGGTCCAGAGAGGTTGCAAGGAATACACGTAAACCAAATCAAGCGAGAGAGGGTCTACTGTTACGAGGCCACGGAACTTTTTCTGTTGTTCGCAGTATTCGAGTGTTGACAGAACTCGTTCCGTTAGAAGAGCCGCGTCGAAGAATTCCGGCATTGCTCCAATTTCATTAAATGTCTTTCCCCTTCTTTCGCTAGTGTCTAGCACTTTCACTCTTTTACGAAGAAGGCTTGGTGCAGCTGACTGATATAAAACCATCTCATCGGGCTCTTCAGCTGCCTTAATTCTTGCCAACCTCGCGTATGTATCGTGCATGTCCCACATAGACGCAAAAACGATAGCATTTTTCTTTTGAGGCCTCGTCGCAAGCGTATGACGAGTTTGAGTCACCTTCGCTTCCGTCTGTGTCTCCTCAACTACCATCTTTCTATTTCTTCCCTTCCCAACTGTGATGTATTGATAAAATTCGTTCTCTTCTTCCACCACAGTTGCTTCTGCAGTTCCCTTTTCGTAAGTGAAACATGGCAGTTCAAACATAAACTGTGTTTCTGTCTCCTTAAGAACGATTAAGACGTCCGGCGGATACGACATGACTGGGTACTCCTTTGGTAGATAGAAGGCTGATGGTGCGATTTCCAAATCCAAGTCGTCAGGAATGACGCCTTCTTCTGTGTTTTGTGTGTGATCGATATGGATGTCGTCAAGGGAGATGGTCGTTGCGAATACTTTCATTCCCATGTCGGCTGTTGATTTGGATTTGCCTTTGAGGGCGACCTCACTCTTTCCTCTGGGTTTACCTTCGAAAGCGGCATGTGTAAATGTATCAAACATGGTGATAAAGTCCGGATCTACTATATCATCCGGGGTGAAGTCAACACCGCTTTCTATAACGTGATGAGCCTGCCTTGCTTCCATAAAAGAGAATCCAGCTTTGCTGACCTTTGATAAAGAGTCGGAGACGCTCATTCTAGATGGATCTGTGGTGGCGGTGCCAGTGGAACTTGGCCCCGTTGAGACCTGAACACCGCCTTCTTGAGACATTCTTAAAAATAAATCTTACCAAAAAATAAATAAATAAATATTGCTGATAACGTTGTTGCTCTATTCAAATTATTGTAAATGTTTTGACCGTTAGACGTCAATGTGTGTTACAAATTCATCACAGACTGTAACCCATTTCTTGGGAGTTTCGTACATTTTTATCTGTTATTTTTATTATTTATTCTGAAAAAATCATGATGCGGGTTGATGATATTGAATTATTTTTAAATACCATATGTAATAACCAAATCTAATTTGATTGCAATCTCATATTGGTATACATATAATTATTTATATTCATTAAAAATATATTTAACACAATCTGGACTCGAACCAACGAATACGAACTGTGTTTTTATATACCGACATGTTTTATATACTCTCATGTGCAAAAGCATGCGAATGCTTTGAGAATATTTATTATACAAGTAGTTTAAATATAACATTTTAACGGTTTAAAACGCGATATGATGATATAAAGCATTCGAAACGTCGCGCCGTGGTTAAAATAATTTTCAATTAAGTTTAACTAATATATATCGCGCTTTAACCCGTTTTTTATTTAAATGTGTACCATTTGCATTAACTACAGACTGTGTACTAATAGTCGACATCATAGAATGGATTCTTAGAGAATTTCTGGGCATGAAAACACTGCCGTTTAAAAGACGAAAGGAACTGTAGCATATCGCACATAACAATACATCGGCCGTCTCGCTGAATGAAGCGCGCTTCCGCCCACACGCTTAAACAATTATTACCTTCTCCTTATAAGAACACAGTGTGCTTTTTATACTAATTTGTGTTAGAGTCTTTGGCCTGAACAAAAAAATCAACATTCGGATTTAAATTGATACGCACCAGATGAGCTTGGAATAAAAAATCGTATATCTACACATATTGTAAAGCTTAAGACTTTGTTTGAACGTGCTAATCTCATGAACTACTGGTTCAAATTGAAACATTTTTTTTATTTAGTAAGAAAGGATTCAAGCTATAAAACATACATATAACATATATATAAGAATTATTCTTATTTAAATAATTTTAAAATTGTCCGTGACAAAATATGTCTAATTTTTTAAGATTACCTTGCAAGAACGTCGAGACGCGGACGACATCGTGGCTAACAGCGTTCTAATTTATAAGGTTGAGGAGGTTGTTTGCAAAAATAACTTCCACGCGGACGAAATCTTGGGCACAGCTAGCTAAGGTACTTATAATATTGAAGATGTGTTGAAAAGCTTTCTTTATCATATATACTATAGGTAAGTGTAAAAAGTTAGACAAACTGTGTTAATCATACAAACACCTGTGAATTGCAAGTTTCAGGTTACAGAGATTTCGTTTCTCGTAGTCCACTCCCCCCTTACATCGATTCACTTGCCACTTTTTTCCCTTATTTCCTACATAAAACCTTAATTAATTGGAATCTTCTGAAAAGCTTTGCTACGAATATTTATCAAATAAGAAACCTTGTTTGTATCAAGTAAGCCCAAACAAATATGGCTAATTACCCTAATTAGATACCCTCTGACTAAAGTCTGAGTAAGATCCCTTCGCAGGCCCGTGGTCCGTGACGCAGAGCTTTGTCAGCAGAGCGTGACGCTGCAGTACTCGCATTTGAGGAGCGCGCGTGCCGAACACCACACCTGTCCCCGATTAATACGAAGATGAGAAGATTTCTTCGGAAACTGCGCGAGAGTGAGTCCTTTTATTTTCTACTTACCTGTGTCAACGACTTCCGCGTACAATAGTTATTTCGGGCATCCAAATTTGTTTTTGCAAACCTCCTCTTCATCTTTATAAATTTAAGCTCTTACGCACGTTAGTGGCCTTCCGTCGTTCTTACAAGTTAATCTTAAAGATGTCGAAAAGTGTCGCGGACATTTTTTTTGATCATTTATAGAGGAATTAGTCACCGCGTACGCATCTAAAACTCACAAAGATGAATAATTTTCGCCATTCTTTCACATTTCTTGCTGTTTTTTCGCTCCTATTAGTCGATGCGCGCAGCCCGATGTTACTTAACACAAAAATATTTTTTACATTCGAACCAGTAGTTCCTGAGATTAGCGCGTTCAAACAAACAAACTCTTCGGCTTTATATAATAGTATAGATATACAGGCCTGCGATTCCCTTGACGGAATGTAACATAGTCGCTATTATCTTATTTTCGAATGTCTCTCGATTCTTTTGATAGAATGTAAAATATCTAAGTTTTGAAATAGGTAGCGAGTTAGGATACGCTGTCTACGGTCTGATTGGTATATACGTCGTTTTGAATAAATCCTACTTAATATTATAATCCTACTTAATATTATAAACGTGAAAGTTTGTATGTGTGGATGGATGTCTGTTACTCTTTCACGCAAAAACTACTAAATGGATTTCAATTAAACTTTCTAATAATATAGCTTATACATCAGAATAACACATAGGCTACAATTTATAAAGATATTGTGTGAGTTGTCCAAAATATGACATTAAGTGTCAAGTAACTAGGAAAAAACCTACCTTTCTGCGAGCTATTCTGCCATAAACGTTAGTTACACATAATTGTGTAATGTATGATATGATAGACATAATTTAGTTTAAATGCGCGATACTACGTAACCCTAATCCTAATCCTGCGTAGACGAAGTCGCGGGCACCAACTAGTTGTAACATGTATAAAGAATTCGTTGATACTGAAGGATGCCATTCTTTGTGGCGATAAACAAATAAGTTCCAATATATCGATTGTAAATTAAAATAATGTACTATTATCCAATTCTGTCCCTCTCTCTCTTCTGACTGGTTTTTTTTATGATAGAGGAGGAGAGACAAGCACGGAGATTTAGATAAAATTTTGGAGGCGGTGGGGATCGACCCGTTGATTATTAGCCATACATTGCTACAATTACACCGACTAGTCTATCTAACATCTAGGATTCCTTATTTCAACTCTAAACCTAGGAATTCAATTATTCAGGCGCCTGCGTTAAAGATTCTTATTGAGGATTAAATCTAGATTTATACTTGTAAGTTGAGTGTTAATGTGTCTTTTATTTTGTATTAGTGAGAATTGCAACAAAAACAGACATAACATACAAAGTAACAAAATATAACACAGTTATTAGCTGTGCGACTTCGCCCGCGAAAAATAGTTATTTTGTGTGACAAAATTTGTTTTTGCCAATCTTCGTCGTCCCGTCTTTCTCGCTAGCGCGTGCAACCAAACGAACTCTTCAGCCTCTAACAAATATAAATAATATATTACGTAATATTCGCATATATTTCGCGTTTTAAACAGTAAAGTGTTTATTTAAACAATTAAAACTTTTACGACATGCTTATATCGGAAAAGTTTCGTATATTTTGTTTTAATAAACTATCTTGCTACTTAGATGTATATATGTATCTCGGGTTGATGACTTCATACAAGTGGAATATGCATACTTAATTATTTAGTATACGAATTAACTGTTAACACTAATGCATTTTTTTGTCCATTCGACCATTAAATTGAGTATATTAATTTAAGATAAATAAGGCAACAAGGCATGCAACAAATTATTATAAGTACAAACGTTGTAACAAATTATTATGACCTCGCTTACTATATTATTTTTATGCAAGCTAGTAAAAAACATTCGAACCAAAATATTTAAGTCAACAACAAAATTATCCCACGACAAGATATGTTGAATATTATTTAAACAAATAAAGTATGAGCATGTCTTTTTCGTTGTTACGTTAATTAGAATTATTATAATTGCTTTAGTTAAATCATTTTCACAGTATTTCAACGTATTTTATCATGTGAAAACGTACAATTGTGGATAAATTAAATATTTTGGAGTGTTACAGAATAGATAAATAAGTTGTATTTATTATCTGTAGACTACGAGTGATCCTACAGATAATATATACTTTTAACGCTCTAAAACAGATAACATAATATTATTTCATTAATTTTTAACGACGTGGATCCACCTGATACCACGGATGCTGTAGAGCATCCGCCACGTTAAGTCGCAGTTAATAATAGTTTTACTCATACACTTCGCACATTAAACCGTTAAAAGTGGCTAGCGGCCTCCCCCAAACGTCCGGTTAGTTTTTAAGCCCAACTAACGCGTAACTGTTCAAAATAAAGACGGGCTATGGTATGTCTCCTGCCTACACCGTATCAAAATGCAAAGAAAAACAACATTATAGCTTTGCATTAAGTGGAAGAAGTCATATATTCGAATCCGCGGAAAACTTTAGTCTTGGTCGTGCAGGGCACAGACCGAACAAACAGACATCTTGACAATAAAAATCCATCAGTGAAATGCGTCTATACTTATACTAGAAAGCTGAAGAGTTTGTTTGTTTGAACGAGCTAAGCTAGTGGTTTTTGTAGACTAGAAATACGTTTATTCAGAAACAACACACAAACACACATTTACAGTTAAAACTTATTCTACAAACATACACATTTAATTAAATATTAAATAAATACATACATCAATATAGTGGTTCTGAAAAGAAAATGAAATGAAATGCCCCTCAGCTAGGTTGGAACTAATGTCCCAACACTGGTATTCTGTGACCCCTTCAGAGGCCGAGCTAACGCAAGCGAGGTTGTTAGACTTTTTTTTTATTATACACAGAAACACTAAGAAATTACACTGATACTTCAAACATTTTAATAAACTCTTATAGATAGGGACATACTATATTTTCTACATATACAAGTTCAAATGGCTCGATTTATAAACAAACATTTAAAAAATATTACTTACTACTTTCCCACTGCATCACTAGCCAAAAGTTTATTGTTTGAAAATGTTATAATTGTGCATCTAATGTTATAAAACATATTGCCTTATGTATGACTTTAATTCTTACATAATGAAGCCTTTTGCTATGTTACTAGGTACAAAAAAAATAATCTTACAATATTATTAGGTACTATTTAAGCTCATTATATACACAAATCAAAAAAGTCTGTTAGAGTATAATTGTCATATGTCAAATGATTACTTGATAATATAAAAGACTAAAAAAACATGTTAGGGGTTGTCCATTAATCACGTGACCTTTTTTAGAATTTTTAAACCCCCCCTCCCTCCTTGGTGATACGTAGTGAGGTTTGAGACCCCCCCCCCCCTCACCCTTCTCAACATCACGTGTATTTTTAGTACCTACAAAGAATCTTAAAATTTTCTGAATATTATTTTAATATAAATACAGGTATAAACTATAATAATCTTATTTTATTCTGAAATTAAGGAGCATAATAAAAATGTCTACACCATTTGTTTAAAAATCGCGCGTTTGACGAAAAAGTATATACACGAGATATCTACTACACCCCCCCCCCTTGTATTATTTTCGTGATTTTTATCAACCACCCCTTTGAAGCCTCACGTGATTAATGGACAACCCCTTAACTAACAAAATATTTCGTGTACCTACTATATTTATAAACCGGGAAGAGAATCTATTGTCTTAAATAGTCCATTCGATGAAGGCAATGAAGGGAAATAAAGAATAAACTGAGAAAAAAAATCATCTCAGAGATTTAAGGTCGGTTAAAATGCAAGCATTCGTGATCGCGGGATAATTTTAAAGGTGTAAGTCAGTTTGGCATTCTTTCGCCAGCCGTCAGGACTGAGGACAAGAGTATCGGGGACTTACATCACAGTCACACTTACAATCAGTAATACCTTTATAATGGCCTTATTAAGAGTGCGATTTATGAGTTTGGAGTTTGATAACAAGGGTACTTTAATGAAAATTAGTTACTTTAGAAAAATCTCTATTTAAGGGATTAATTTAATTAATCCCCCTTAGAATTATTACTCTCTTGTTTTTCATTTAAATAGAATATTTACAAATGTTGTCTCGTAGCAAATTTGGTATGAAATTTTGTTTCTCCTGTGAAGCCTAGGGAAAATCAGACTTATTTACAGGAAAGTAGTTGATCAAATTCTGTACAATACCCGACAGAAAAAATAATAATTTTCCCGGGCTTGGTAACAGGTTAAACAATTGAGCTAAGAAGACGCTATAATATTCCTATACAACTAACGAAAAATTTTGAAATCCGTTAAATGTCAAATGTTTGAATTACTGAAAACACTATATAAACTGTGGCCCGGGCCGGCTAGGTCGGAGGTCGCGCGCGCAGACGCCACGCCCCCCTAATTGCGCCCCACGCAAATAAATAATTTTTATCCATTTCATAAGTGCAGTCTTGACCGTACATTTTTCCACGTACGCGAGTTTTCTTCAAAGATCGGAATTTACGAAGAGATTGTGATCGTCGATAGCTTTATAGTTTTCTGGAAATTGGGTTCGGTGAGAATATCTTTTAAGGATCATTTCACACTACAATGAAATATGTATTTTTTTTTAAAATTACATCCCAGCTTTATAACGTAATAGACAAGATGCGCTATCGACCTATTTATCTTTGGATATTCGGAAATCCATAGACTGAAATTGAGACGCGAATAAACTTTACGGTACGGTGGTTCCTGACCCAAACAACATCCATCTGAATAATATATTAATTACAAATATTTTTAATTATAAGACAAGACATATATATGGCATTTTTATTCTATTTTGTGATTAAACTTTATTACTTTTATGTATGCATAGAAATAACATCAGATTCATAATTGTGGAATAGATGCAACAAATAACGTGTTAAAATCAATTTTCC